TTCATTGGACTTTAAGTACTAAATCACACAAACAAACGAGGGGGTCCAAACTGAGTAAGAGCTAAAATTCAATTGTCTTTCATTAACTGTATCAACGGCCAACCAGCTAATAGGTATAGAAGCTGAGGATCCCTTCCCCTTACTTTTAATAATAGCGAAAATAAGATCGCTCCACAGGGTTGGATACTGATGGCGAGTCTCTCCAAATCTCTATTTCTTTTTCTCTATAATTTTCCCCATTTCAAATTTTCCCAGAAGCCTCAGCTCTAATCTTAGATAAGAGCTCAGGGCTGGTTACATTACCTGCAGGAAAAGCAAGCTGAGGAAAGCGAAGGAGGTGGCACAGCCTGCTTCCCCTGGGCAGAGCCAGTGAGCCCCGGGGGAGCTCTGCCCGCCTCCCACACGGCCACAAGGTGCTGGACACGCAGGACGAGCGCCATCAGAGCACCTGCCCAGGAGCCCGTGGCCTCAAGTGAGGCCAGCTGCGGAAACGCAAGGAGAAGGCAGTGGGTTCTCTGGATCTGGAGTTATTCCAAGCAAAATGTGTCATTACTCTTAAAAAGTTTTTTATTTAAACACTAACAGTCTAAGACATACCATATGACTAGATGGTAACAATTAAAAATAAAAAAAAAAAAAGATCGTTCCATGACCTTTAAATCTTCCTTTTTATTTAAAAAAAGTCAGGTGTAAATATACATATAATTCAAAGCCAAGCACAAAGTTTAGCACAGCGCTGGGTAAACATAAAATATATGTCACTATACACAACACAGACTCATTTTTATATACAGTCTTATTTCCGTACAAACAAGCTTGATATTCACTTTCATATATCAAAGTACAAATCTGAGTCAAAGCCTTGAAAAAGACATAATTCATCGACATTTTGCATTTAATTTTGCATTAGTACCCCAGAGAGAGAGAAAGGGAGTGGGGGGGCGGGGCAGAGCGCTCGCCCTGAACCTACGACCCTCATGTCAGCTGGCTGAGAGGGCAAGGACCCAGATCTGCCGCTGCCTCTCACACCGCCGTCCTGGCAGTCTCCCAGCACCTGTTTCTGTGTGAGATTAACAGGGATTCGGGATGAGATTCAGAGCGCTGAGGGTTTTCTCCAACCCACGTACAGAACTTCCACCAGGCTGCCACACTGTGACAATTTCATGGGAGAGCGACACCTTTTCCCCATCTCAAGTCTTTCTTGAGATGAACGAACAAGTCCTCGGAGGCTGCTGGGGGCCTCGACCTGGGTGTCCTCTCCCTGGAGCCACAGACGGGCCCCCCACCCACAGTCAGGAAGGAGGGACAGGGAGCAGCAGGGACAGATGCCTCCACACCAGAGGGGCAGACGCCATGGAAACCCCATTCCTCTGCTAGACAGGCCCGTGGCCACCATACCATGGAACACAGCACAGCAGCAGACGTGAAGCTGCGCCAACCCCCAAGACAACCTGGCCAGAGCCTCCTGATACTGCCTGTTGCTGGGCGGGTGGGCGCTGTGGGACAGCCCTCAAGCTCAGGATAACCCTGCTGGGCGCCAGGACAGGGCTCCAGTGCTTCCTATGGACGCAACGCTGCGTCCCTTTAAGGACAGTTCCACGTGCTCTGGATTCAGGCTGAGCAGCAGACACATCACCTGGCCCGCAGCAGAGGTCACTGCCAAGACTCTCTTAGCCTCCAGAAAGAGCAGCTCCGCGTCCAGGAGCTGTGAGAGCCCTGAGACGGCCTGAGCTCTGAGCGGCCACTGCTGCCTTCACTGAAGACCAGAGCCGTCTGCCTCAGCTGCACCCTTCAACCCGACAGCCAAGGGGGAAGGCCGGGTGAGGACGCGGGGGTCAGGAGCCACGGGAGTCCTGCAGGCTCGGAGAGCACAGGCCGCTGACGGCAGAGCTGCTGTCCACCTGGCTGGCTGCAGGGTGTGACTGGGCACGACCTGCTCGGTCAGCAGAGCCAGAATTTCTGCTGGGGAAGAAAACTATGGGCTGGGAGGCAGGGGAACGGGTGGTGGTAGAGGCCCGATCCTGCGTCCCACAGCCCAGCCCAGCCTCTGGACTCTCTGACCAGGAAGTATCCGTTGAGGAAAACCAGACACAACTCACCCTGTTGTTAACAACTAACACTGTCACCTTCAGAAAGCAGAATGACAGTTTCTTTCAGGAAGGGAGCCCCACCCCGTGGCTGAGCAGTTAGAAAACTTTTTCCCTCATCCATTCTTCTTTCAAAAAAGAAATTTTACCTCTGAACATATCCTACAGCTGAGGGAACTAAAGGAATGGAAAGCAAGAGAGGTCGGGGGCAGAGAGGGGGGACTGACCGACGACACTGACTCCTGTGTCTGCTCCAGGCCTTGTGGCCAACGCCAGCCTAACCAGGGCCGCCCTCCTGCCCTCCAGCACTTCTTTACCTGATACCTCGTAATCAAAACCATGTTCCAATATTTAACTGTCAACCTCCAACATTCTTTCAACCTGATTAACCTCTTAAACCTGCTAATAAGTCCAAATGCATGCTTCAACATCAATATCCTCAAAACTTCCCGGAGGCCGAAGCAGAAGGTGACATTCAACCATGAGCTTGGCCAGGGTTCCAATAACTCCCAACACTGAGAAATAATTGGTAGTTTTGACAGATTTAACAGCAGTAGAAAAGCCTGAGGTCTGGGTATGGACACAAGAGGACTTCAGCATGAATTTCCAGCGTAACAAGCTAAACATTTCTTATGTAGAGTAACAGGAACAAATTAACCCAGGCACAGGTGACACACACATGGAAGTCGGACTCCAGAAACGTGCCGTGGCTTCGAAGGTCTCACCACAGCACCTGCCTCCTGCACTTCAACTGCAGGGCAGCTGGTCTCCCTCCCATTCCTGACACGGTTATTACAGGTACAGCAAAAACCAACTTGAAAGCCACCAGAACAGCCCCGGCAAATTTTAGGAAGATCCAAAGAGGGAGCTAAGTTTAAGTGGAAGGGGCCAGCAGCAGCCCCTTGCCACTCCCACTTTCCAAGGCTGCACGGATCACCACTCCAATGCCGAAACTCCAACTGTTTGTGAGGCTGCCATTAACCCCAAGTCTCTTGTCTGCTCAGCACTGGGGCTGGGGGAAAGGGTGGGAGAGGACCTTCCTACTGGGCATGTGGACACCAGGCAGAGCCTGGACCTGGGCCATGACCCTGCAGAGAGAACCACGTCTAGGAAATCAGTTGCCACATTTATTTTTACAGACACATACTAAATTCCAAGATCCTTTTTAGTTATCGCAGTAGTTAAATTTTCTCGAAAATGCACAACTGCTTTAAATAAAAACTTAAAGTAAGTTTTTAGTGGCAGCAGCATAAAATTCCCCAATAAAGAACAAATTCCTAGAGTCGGGCACGGTGGCACACACATTATCCCTGCAGCTCAGGAGGCTAAGGCGGGAGGATTGTGAGTTCAAAGCCAGCTTTAGCAACTTAGTGAGGCCCTGTTTCTAAAATATAAAAAAGGGCTGGGGATGTGGCTCAGTGGTTAAGTGCCCCTGGGTTCAATCCCTAGTACCAAGAAACAAAAACAACACAAATTCCTATGACTCTAGTCTGGAGCAAAGAACCAGGTGAAACCTAGGATGCCTGATGACCATAGCTGCACTGTCCTCCCATGCTCACCACGCTCACGTCACATGCCCTGTGAAATGGACAGCTGCAGGCACCAGTGCTTCTCTACCACTCTGACCTGTGCCATGCATGTCCACCATGTTGCTGGGTTCCCCACCATGAACACCGATTTAACAAGCTGGTCCCTCAAGTCTGGACAAACATGATGCTTAAAATCACCACCAAAATGAAAAAAAAAAAAAAAAAAAAAAAGCAGAAGAGTCCAGCAAATAGGGGCTGGGGCTGGGGCTCAGTGGCAGAGCACTCGCCTAGCACATGTGAGGCCCTGGGTTCGATCCTCAGCACCACATAAAAATAAAATAAAGGAACTATGTCCACCTAAAAAACATATTTAAAGAAAAAAAAAAAAAAAAGAGTCCAGCAAATATATGATTAAGCCTAAGAGACAAAGCAAGCCCTTGAACAGAACAAGACACTCTGGGGCAGTGCTGGAGGGGCCTGCGGGAAGAGATCAGCACAGGTGTGGCTGTCTCGTCCACAGCAGCCAACGGCAGACACAATTTCTGAGTGAGGCAAAATGTCTTTCACTGAGGATACAAAATACAAGCAGGAGACCATGTCAAAATAAAGGCAAAAAACAAAAACAACAACAACAACAACAAAACACAAATCAAAACAAAAAAACCTCACAAAATAAGAGTGAAGAGTTCGTATTTTGAGTTCCCATCCGACCTTCCAGAGCTATGCACCACTTCAAAGTGCAGTCCAGTTAATCAGCACCGATCCCTAGGGCACTTACTCTAAAAACCCAGGAACACTGTGATTCCAGAATGTCTATTAAGCGCAATTAATAGAGACATGAAACGTGACATCTCTTCACAGTCTACAAATACCGATATTCCAAACTCCAAGGAGCTCTGCAGAGCAGGAATCCCAGGCTCTGCTCAACTCAGCCGCCCACATCTATGGCACTAGAACTCTCACTGCTCTCTCTCCAGAACTCCCTGAACAGACTCCTCCACTGGATACTCAAGTCACCATCCAGCAGTGTTGACATTAAAAATACTTAAATTCTAATTTTCCAAAGAAGAAAGCATTTTTCCTCTTTGCACAGCATCTCATCTGGGTTGCACAGATGGGTGAAGCGGGCACTGTCACCCTCACATATGTTAAGGAGCAGGATCAGCAAATCTGATGATACGGAGACGATCAGAAACACATCACAACTGTTGGCTTCGAACAGTCACTTGATTGTGTGATACATTAAAACTGATTCAGTCTTGGCTTCAACTTCTTAAAAAATATAGAATTTTAAAGGAAAATGTTATCCATATGCATGAGAAACAAGAGTCAACTGGACACAGATCTGCAGCTATGCACTGGGAGCAAAACATCAGCCCACACATTGTTTTAATACTTTTAATATCTGTTGGTGCGTGGAATGCACGGACCAGGCTATTCAAGCCCTCTAGAGCCATGGGCTGCCTCAGACCAAAAAAGGATAAGACCTAACTCAGCCCAGAAGGCCCTCACACAATTCTCTACCAGAGACCACCAGGTTCCTAGATTCCATAGGACAATTTTTTGTTCAAACTGTTTTCATCAAGACACTTGAAAGTAAACGTTCCTCATTGGGTAAGGAGCTGGGGGACCACGTCCATCTCAAAATGATACCAAGCCTTCAATCACTTGAAAGATATCTTTTAGTCCTGGAGATGGTGTGCGCTGCCCTCCCAGAGAGGCCCTGGCGATGGTTAGGAAGAGCACCTCTCCACGCAGTCGGCTTCCTCCAGCGCACGGCTTCCCATGCTCTGGAATGCTCCACAGCTCACGCCCTTCTGCCCTCCACTACTGCATTCAGAAGACAGGAGAATCACAGAAAGGACAGGGGCTCTGCAGCAACCTCTTAATCCAGTCAGGATCTGCAGAAGGAAGATGAGAGGCGTCAAGCACAGGCCTAGAGCAGGCCCAAACAGGATGCGTGCTGCACGGCAGCATCAAGACCACATTCTGGCCCCAGTTCTGCAATGACCATATGTCCCTAGACAAAGCACCCTACTCTTTGGGCTTAAGTTTCCAACATTCTACAAGCCCTGGTCAGTCCGCAGTGACAGAGCAGCAGCCAAGATCCACTTTGCTCAAAGTAAAGGCAGTGTGCACTTAACACCACACACTCCAGGGACCATTTCCTAATCAGTTCTGGCTTCACAGCAACACTGTGAAGAGGCTGGATCCTGCTCTGTCCCTGACAACGGACACAGCAGTGTGGAGCCCAACCCAGCCATGACGTGGGGTGCTAGCACTAGCACACTGCCCACCCACACTTCCTTGCCCCCTGGATGGGAAAGCACTCACCTTCTGGGGCTGGGTGCCGAGCGATGCTGTCATGGAGCAAACACCGTCTGTATATCAAGCTCTGGCAGGACTGGTAGGTTAAAAAGCACCTGAGAGAAGAGCGATTGTACTGTCAGGGCAGGGGCAAGCCCGGGTCCCACCAACACTGGGAAGGCGGCAGGGGCTGAGGGCAGCTCCAGCATGGTTATGGCAACAACGCGCCCTACCCTAGTGCCCCTCGGGGCAAACCTGCATCACCTGCACTGAGCAAGAGGGAAGTGGCCTGTCATGTTACTGACCAGAGACACACTGCCTCCAGGCCAGATACTCACTGCAGCTGCTGTGTGACTGCAGCACTGGGAGGATTTAATCTGTCATCCCTGACTATTCTCAATTCTTATTACGTTAAAAAAAAAATTGAGCACACTGTTACACGGAAGGTCATTCTTGTTAGTCACTGCTAGGCTTAGGTAGAAGCACTATCTTTAAAAACCTGACAGCTATGAGGAAAACCCGAAGGGCACCAATGATTCAATTCCACCCAACAGGTCCTCACCAAGCATCTACCAAGACCAGGCCAAAGGGGCAAGTGGAGGCCATGAGGTGGTCAAGGGTGCAGGTGGGCCCTGGAGGTCGTCTCCCCAAAGGCTGTAGTTTTCCCTGAGCAATTAGGGAGCTGGGAATACAAACAGGAGAGGGTTAAGGGAAGGGGCTCCAAGCAGATTCACCTGGAGTGAAGACCTGAGCATATGGTGGAACAGCCCACCTGAGAGAAGCTAGCACCCAACCTCATGGAGAGAGACCATGCGGAGGTACTTTGGCACTATTTTAATCAACAAAATGGAAAACAACTTTTGTGAAAGAGTGTCACCTAGGAGGGGTTGACACACAGAGGTCATACGTGGACTCTGGAGCCAGCAGGCCAGGCTCTGAGCTCTGCCACAAACCACCGGTGTGACTGGGGCAAATTCACTCACTCTTGCAGCGCAGTGTCCCGTCTATAGATGTGAACAACGTGGCATCTCCTGCGTGGGGTTTTTAGGAGGTACAGTGATGTAAGACACATCACTGCTGAGACTGTGCCTGGAAGGTTGTCAGTGCTCAAGAAATGTTCTTTTTACTATAAACCGAAAGTCTACCATAAGCTTGTTTCATATTCTGAAGAAATAAAAAAGAAAAAAAAACCAAAGTCCGAAGAGTAAAATCAGAATCAGAACAAAACAAAACAAAAACAAAAAGACACCTTCCAATAAAGGAATAAATCACAGAGCGTTCACACATGGAGAACCCTAGCGCTGTTACACACGGGGCCGCGGTACCAATGCTGACAACACGTGCAGCACGCAGCCTGGTGGCCAGCTGGCAGGCTCTAACAGCCCCTCAGTTAGTGTCTACTGAGGGCCTCCACACACCAGGCACAGTTTCAGAAAGAGCTGTGATCAAAACACCAAAGTCCCTGTCCTCATGGAGTTTCCCTGTCCACAGGAAAGAGAAGAAGTAGACAAACGTAACATGCCACATAACAGTGACCATGGAGGAGGGAGCAAGGTGGGAAGAGGGTGCCAAACGCGGGAGGGAAGGGGGTCAGCAGGCACTACAACTTTAGCCAGTGAGTCGGAGGGCCGAAAAGGGGACTTCTGAGGAAGGCACATGATATCTGCTGGAAGAGCCTACAGGTGGAGGGGTCAGCCCCACAAATGAGCCAGAGCAGGTGTCCCTCACGGACCTGAGGAAAGAGTCCAGGTCACTTGGAATGCAGAGAGCGACAGAGAGGTCAAAGCGAGGAGGCGGGGAGGAGGGCCCTGGTGTGTGGAGCGCTCGAGTCACTGAAAGGAATCAGCCCCGCACATCAGAACAGTTTGTTCAGAGGGCTGCAGGAGCTGACCATGTCTGGACAGGATCACGGTGACAACTAGGCTGAGAAGACTGTCGAGGCAGGGAGGCAGGCGGCAAGACCAGGGGAGACAGCTACGATCTGTGGGCTAGAGACAGGGCAGAGACGGAGCAGTGAGACGAGGCTGGGCCGTGTGAAGCGCTTGCAACACCCCCGAGAGGCCGAGCAGCAGTGAGGTCCCAGGTCCAGAGGGAGGCCAGAGACATGAGCTCCCCAGTCATGGCTGGGGTGCAGGCCTCCAGGAGGCTGAGAGGAGGACAGGCCCCAGACCCACATGGAGGGGAGGAGGAGAAGAGCAGGGGAGAGCCAGGTGAGGAAGCAAGGACTGTCCAAGAGGCTCACAGTTGGTATAGACTATGAGGATGGGAGGAGAAAGGCTTCTACCTTTCATTATAAATTCAACAAACAAAAAATGTGCCAGGAGCACACATAAACTCATCCATTCAACAGACAATATTTTGTAATAATGATTTAGGAACTTCTCACTACTTTAAAGGAAAACAGTACAACCAAAGCAAACTGGAAACCTCTATAAACCAGGCAGCAAGTCTGTCCTTCAAGGTCCTGCTCCAGTCAGACTGAGGAGGAGTCCACACCAGGCTTCAGACTGCAGATCTCCTCTAATGTAGTGGTGGGCGACACGTAATGAGGTCACCTATTCTTGGCCACAGTGGCTCACGCTACACAACACTGAGAAATGAGCAAGAGCAGGGGTGAGATACCGGCTTACCGGAGCCAGATGTGCCCATTAGAGCAGACGGCCTGCTTGCGATCTGTGAACGGCAAGATCTCTTTACACAAGCTGCAGTGCTCAGGGAAAGTCTGTTTGTTCATCTTCTTTGAGATGTGTCCGATCAGCACCTAGCGAGACAAAGTGGTCAGCGGTCAGCAGTGGTTGCAGGTGTCCTGAAGCAAAACCTGCTATGAGGAGACAGCCACTCAGGGCTGAATGGAATCCTTCACTTCCACACTAGCCAGGCTTGCTGTCAGACAGGAAAGCTGCACCTTGGACATGTCAACTGACTGAATAAAACAAACACATTCAGGTACCTTGTGACCACAGGGTGAACCAGGACCATTACGGGAAAAACTGTGAGGACCAAACTCACACTACTTGCCTTGCTTTAGTTGCTCCTGTCTGAAGCAAGGATTTAGCTGTTATTAATAATGTTTTGACAGTAACCTCCATACAAAATATTGAGTGATACTGCCAACTTTATAGAACTCTACAAACGTTTAGCCTTTGAGAAAGGCTTACGAGTACAAGAGTCAGGATTAAAAAATAATTTTCCTTCTGATGGCCCAAGACCCACGACTGAGCCAGTCAGGCAGCCTGCCTCTGAGGTCCAGACACCCGCTGCAGAGGCCTGGCAAGACGCGCCTTGGGAGGGCAGGAAGCAGAGTGAGATGGGGGGGCGGGCGGCGGCACCCTAGGCCTTGCCCTCCTCTAGCTTTGCTTCCCTCTACTGTTAAGATCATACTCTTCAAAACAAAATCTGAAAAACACAAATCCACTTCATTATTTTCTTCTTTCCTTCCCTTTTTGGGGTGTTAGGGGTTAAACCCAGGCCTTGCACATGTCAGGGAAGCACTCCACCCCTGAGCCATAATCCCCAGCTCTTTTATTTTGAGACAGGATCTCACTAAGTCGCTTAGGCTGGCCTGGAACCTGGAGTCCTCCTGCCCTTAGCTGGGATTACAGGCATGTACCACGGCCCAGCCATCATTTTACTGGGAAAAAAATGAAACAAAACCTCTCTTGTATCTCATTGGGAAGCACAGGACGTGCCAATCCTTTAGAACCACTTTTTCTAACTAGCATAGTGCCTTTCCAAATTTTGAATCCATTTATACTTCTTGTGAAGAATCTGTAAGATTTTGGATTAATTCACTAAAATTAGTTCACTTAAATTTCAAAGTAGCTCAGTAGCAAACTGCTTGCATAGCATGTAAGAGGCCCGGGTTCAGTCCCCAGAACTACCAAAAAACCAAAAAGGATCTAACTTAGGACCAGTCATAGACATGCCAAGCCAGCCCAGAGTTCCTGCAGTGCAGATGCACCTAAGACTACTGTGGGGTGCTCTCCGTGGCTTCCATCACAAAGCCCAACTATTTCATCTGACTCACTCTCAATGGGGCTCATAGTTCTTCATGAAAGACAAATATTGGTTCTTGGGGGACAAAATATCCTTAAAAAAAAAAAAATGATGAACCCAGGCACTTAACCACTGAACCACATCCCCAGCCTTTTAATTTTTTTTATTTTGAGACAGGATCTCATTAAATTGCTTACAGCTTCACTAAATTGCTGAGCTGGCTTTGAACCTACAATTCTCCTGCCTCAGTCTCCTGAGCCGCTGGGATTACAGATGTGTGTCACCATGCCCAGCCTTAATCTTAAGTATTCAAGTGCGCATATATATATATAGCAGGTAAACAAACAATATATCTGTCGTATTAACATTTCATGGGCAGGAATAACCAGGAAAAAAAGAACACTCCAGGCGAAGGTGATAATAAACGAAAGGTTGAGAAGCACAGTCTGCCAGGCAGGAATCTCAGAGGTGGTTCATGACCACTGGTAAGAACAACATCCCAGGAGGGAGGATTTTCTTCCTGGTCCATGGTGCAAACACTCAGGCATTGAGCTACAGCCCAGCCCAGACCTTCAACTAAAAAGGCCCTCAATTGAAGTACACAGTTAAGATTTTAAGACGCAGAGTGCACTGTCTGCAGTCAGAATGCAGTTGGTATAGCCAGGTAGGTATAATCTTTCCATTTTTCAGACTGGCTTTGCTGGAACCAACCAGCTAGACACAGCTTCCCAAGTCCACACAGCATCTAAACCAGAATTATAAACTAATAAGAACGAACTTCATTACTCATTCTCCACAATGCTTTTGCCATCTCAATGACCCTCGAGTCAGTCCCATGACATGATGACAACCAGAACACTTTCCCAGGCAATTGAAACATAAGGAAACACTGCTTAAAAGCTGACTTTTAAAGTAGAAAAGTCAGTTACATGACCAGCGCACCTTGGCCACTCTGAGGGTCGCTGCAGACATCTTGGCAGTCATTTCAGGAAGGACAAGTGTCACTGCCAGCAAGAAAATGTAATGAGTGATTTCTAAATGATTTAACATTAAGGATGAAGACACTTGAATTTTCTGTTTTCAAATAATACTTGTTAAATGAGACTTGAGGCAGTGAGAACAGAGCTAGTCTTCAGAGCAAAAGGCCAGGCTATGGTTCTGAACACCTGTGCACACAGCATGCTCCTCGGAGCTGCGTTCTTGGTATCTCAGCAGATGCTAGCTGCTAGGATGCTTCCCTGGCAGAGACATCTGGGTGACAAAGGCACATTTCTCTTCTGTAGGGAGTTTTCAGAACCCTCAGAAATGGCTACCTGCACAGGGTCCCTTAAGAGGAACAGAGAGTATGCAGTGTCCCCAGGCTTGGGATCCTGGTGTTCTCTCAGGGACCCCAAATGCCACAGAACATGTTTTATATAACACTGAAGACCGTTCCTGTGCCAAGAAAAAGATAATACTCAGTTTTTTGTAAAAACAAAATATATATGTTTCCTTTGTGTGTTTTGGCAAAACCAGAAGGCCTCTTTGAGTCCTTTAAAACCAAAAATGTGCCCCCTACCTAGAACTTGTGTAAAACAGGATGGGCAGGGAGCAAGGCATGGAACCTCCACCACACTGCTCTCTGTTCACACAGCCTCCCCAAGCTCATCCACAGCCTGGAAAGCTCCTCTGGCAAGCCCTGAGCCCCAGCCCAGGCCACCATAAGGAAGAACCCAACATTCTTTGTGTACTAAGAAAGTGTCCTTGCATTTAACCCCTATTTCCTCTTTGTTTCCCTAACCTCATGCCAATCAATTACCTACAAAGTGCCAACATGAAAGCTTAGCTCTAGCGACTCAATCTGCCACGTGTCTCTCAGAAAGGGAGCAGACGTGACGGTTTTGGGAAACACCTACCCGAGCCGTTCTGTCCTCGTACTCTTCGTCAGACATTAGAAAGTTGCAGAGCCCTCTGGTGGGGATGCTGGTGTTCTCCGTGATCCAGGTGTGCAGGTACACTTCCCCCAGGACGCGCTTCATGTGCTCCCTGGTCAGGTGCATCTCCACAGCCTCGATCTTCCCTTGGATCTCAAGGAGCTTCTCCTCCACTGCCTCGTGGCCTCCACTGTCTCCCGATGGGGGCAGTGAGTCGTCTGTGGGCTCCTCTGCTTCGCCCTCTCTGCTCCTCTCCTGCAGGCCTGGCTTAGTCACCTGCCTGGAAGAGGTGCCCTCTTCTTGCTGCTCATCCTCTGCATTGCCCATCCCAGGAGAGTCAACGATCAAGATTTTTGAGTCTTCATGGGCAGGTTTCCATAAGGCTTCTGAAGGAGTTTTCTGCATTGACTGGTATAAAATCCTCAGGAGAAAAAGCTTAAAACGCCAAAAATAGGTGACTCCACTGCTTTCGATCTTTTTTTCCAAAGCTTCATGTAAAAACTGAGGGATATGTTTATCTTTTAAAATTTTCCAGCGTACTAGGTCTATTAAATCTACCTGCTTAAAGAGGTTCTGCACTGAAGACTCCAGGAGCTGAGCAGCTGCCTCCTCAAAGGTTTTGAGAGTAACGAACTGGACCTGATAATTTTTGTTGACAGGATGAAGGCCATTGACCATGCCCTCAGTTGTGATGATGGCCAGATACGCACCACACGGGCTCACTGCTATCCCATGAGTCCTCACTGAGCCAAACACATCTGAGAGTTTAATTAACTGGTGCTCGAACTTTAATGCGACATCTGTGAAGATGGGAATCAACTGCCTCACCTTCCCATCGCTGGAACAAGTGTACACGGTTCCGTTCTGTTTGTCTGCAGTCATGGAGACAATGGGCAGGGAGTGAAGGCCTGTGACGTGGGAATTGTGAACATTCAGACCTGCCTTGGAGATCAAAAGAAGACACCAAAACACGTAGGACCCTCTTGCAGCCACCACCAGGCTGCAGCTGCACTTCTGGTAGGGGTGATAAAGCGGCACGCACTTAATGCTGTGCACAGGCAACTGGTCCATTTCTTTCCACAAGACAACAGGCTGCCTCAAGGTGAAATAGCCCTTGACTGCTTTGAGATTGACAGGGAGAATTTTTACGGGTCCAAAAGCACTCCCCACAATAAGGCCACTCATTTTCCGATTATTGTGCTCATATTCCCACCAGAATAAAACACTAGGGGAGCTGATTCCAGACTCAATCGTGTTGCATGAGGAGATGGACTCCTTTCCTACAAAGGGCAGCTGAAATTGCCACACGGCAATGTTACCGTTCTCAAAGAGGACAGCCAGGAGCACGCTGCCCACGTCCCTACACTCATTGTTGTGCTTGACCTGCTGAGTGGTGCAGATGCCCGACCACTCCATTCTGACTGGGGTCTGCATGCTGTGCCTCCTCTGAAATTCAGCAAAATCCCCGAGATTTCCCTCTGGAGCCTCATTTTTAGAGAGCCTGTAACTGGTCTCATAGAGACGCTCTCCGTAAATCTCAGTCAGATCAACCAGCTGGACCCACTGGAGTCTGTTGAGGTTCACCTGGACAGTCAGGCGATTGTCCATGGTCAGCGCTGCCAAGAGGCACCTGCCATTTGCATCACAACCCATGGGAGACCAGCTGGTGTATTTGAACCCTCTCATTGGTGGCAAGGCCTTCCCCTCAGGGTTGAACACCCTATCCAACATGAAAGTCTGGCTGATGGTGGGGTCTTTAGAGCTGGCAAATTTCTCCTTGCACTCAGCAACTTCTGATTTTGAGCCAACCTGAAAATAAGAGAAACAGAAACTATCAGATAAATGTTCACTTGTATTAACTGAGTATTTATGATAACATACATAATAATTTGACGTCAAGTCCATTAATTTTGGCATTAAACACATTTAAAAGATCATGTCCAAAGACTGAGTATTTACATAAAGAAATAGCAATTATTTTTTATTTTTTAGTCGTAGTTGGACACAACACATTTTTTATTTTTTTTTTTAATATTTAGTTTTAGTTTTCAGTGGACATAACATCTTTATTTTATTTTTATGTGGTGCTGAGGATCGAACCCAGCACCCCGCGCATGCCAGGTGAGCGTGCTACCAGGTGAGCCCCGGACACAATACTTTTAATTCATTCATTTTTTTTTTTTTTGTAGTACTGAGAATTGAACCCAGCACCTCCCATGTGCTAGGTAAGCGCTCTACCACTGAGTCACAACCCCAGCCTCACAGTAATTTTTTTAATTTTAATTTTTTTTACTTGTAGATGGACCTTTATTTTATTAATTTATTTATATGCGGTACTGAGGATCAAACCCAGTGCCTCAAGCACTCTACCACTGAGCCATGATCTCAGCCCCACAGTAATTGTTTTTTAAGGGCCAGAATAAATGTCATTATTCACAGACTGGTTCCCATATGCTTCTTGACAAAAGCAACAAAATGTAGCTGATTCTTAAGAGAGAATGGAGTACTCAGCTGAGCTTGTCACAGAACAGTACAGGTGCTAAAAACTTATAAAATATGTATCCATATTCATCTTTGATACAATTAGATACTAGAATTTTTATAATACCCTTACAATACAAACCCTAATTTGCGAACTACCCTGAGGGCTGGCACCAACTGCTCTCATGCTATACAGTAAGATGGCCCCAATCAGACTACTCTGCCTCTAGTTCTTGAACATTCCCTCCACTGCTTCACTTTGACCCCTTGCCTAGTCCGTCCCCTATCCAAATCCCACCCAGCTTACCAGGCCTGATTCTAGGAGGCCTTCCGAGATCATTCTAGCTATCATTCACCTCTCCCTTCTCTAGGTCCATACATAACACACTAACAACGCCTACCAGTATGATGGCAAGTTCTTTATAAAGACTTTTAAGGGGATATTAAACGTGGAGGAAGAGGTAAATGACAAAACAAAAACTATAAAAAAGTGATTTGGAGCCATGAAATAGCCAGAAAAAGCAGAGGTGAACCAAAAGATGGTTTGTTATGCTGGAAGCATAAGGACTTCTTAAGAGAAATGGAGAGAGAAAGAAAGCAGCATCTTGCAATTCTTTAGTGTCAATCTCCTTATTAAGAGAGACTGATCTTCAAACTTGAAAGGGCAAAACAGGACTAAAAGAGTTCAAGTCTCAGACATATATGAATATAATAAAAGCCACTTTAAGTAAGTCCCCAAGCACAGAAGAATTACACTCTGGAACACAAAAAGAACTTGGAAAACATTAACTCAGAACTACAAGCTGCATTCTGGGTAAAGCTTAGACAACTGGAGACCTGTCAGAAAACCAGAGTGCAACAATAGTCTAAGAAGATTCCCCAAATGATGAACACAGGCAAGCTAATAAGCCTGATTAGGAATAAAATTTGTCAGCATATTAACAAATGAACAGTGAGTGCATGATGCAGCAGCAATCATTAGAAACTAGCAAGAGATACCTGGACGAGTCTTTTTCTCCTTCCTGCTAACACTGCCAGATAAAAGTTGCCCACCTAATGAATTAGTTGGCTAACTTTTCCTAAAGTGATTCACAGAACACTACCCCCCTAAACTGCTTCTTGAAAACAGTTCTATGTCCAAATAGCTTTGGAAATACAAAACATTACATATCATTCCTCCTTTGAAAGTCACAGACTTTCAAAGTACAGACTTGTTTAACTAGAGTTAGCCAAAAATAAAAAATAAAAATTTAAAGTAGGACCTTTTGGGGGAGTTGCCATCCTAAAGAACACTCTGGAAACAGTGTTTTAGGCAGCACATCTTGATTTTAGAAACATATTTAAGATAATTTCTTGGACACGATATAGACCCACGGACAGCGACAGACTAGAAATCCCAATGAAATGAGCTGTAGGTGGCTACATGGGTAGATACAATGAAACACACCATAACAAAGCACAGCATCGAATGAAATCTGAACCATGATCCCATACTTCATGTTCAAATGCTTGTTCCATTATACTCCAGTTCCACGACTGTGTGCAAATTGCTTAAACCTTCTGGTCCTAATTTTCTCATTTACAAAATAATAATAATACATGTCTCAGAAATTTAACTAAATCAAAATATGTAATACACATTAGTGTTTGATAAACATTGTCTGTGATGATTATTATTAGTATTCTCTGAGGATTAAGTGACTGTTAATGAGACCTAATAGAAGTATGTAAAATGTAGGGTACATACAAAGTGGTGCTGTCACTAGGGAAGAGATGTCACTGGAGAAGGATCTCGAGGAGTTTTTGGAGAAGGGAGCCTCAACTCAGGACAAGTGGAGTCCTTAATGAAGGTGACAAAAATTTCAACATGTGTCTGTAGAGGCATAGAGATTTACTTAGTAAAGCAAGGAGTACACATTCAAAGGAGAATGTGGGCCATCTTCGGAGTAAGAGATGTATTCTGGGGGTTCCTGACTCTTCTTCATAGGTAACTTGGTGAGAGGTGGGTATGGGAAGGTGTGTGGGGATGACCTCAGGCTGGGTATCCATAGGAACCTTGGGATGACCCAGTTTCCATTATTTGACAGGAAGCATTGGAAGGTCCTCTAAATAATAGAATTTTATTTGTTTGTACCAGGGATTTAACCCAGGAACACTAACTATGAGCTACAACCCCAGACCTTTTTATTTTGAGAGAGAATCTCCTTAAGTTGCCTTAGGACCTCACTAAGTTGCAGAGGCTGGCTTTGAACTTGTGATCCTACTGCTTCAACCTCCTGAGCCACTGAAAATTATAGGTTTCTTAAAATGTCAGCACCCAAGAAAATAACTTAGAAATAGGCTGGTCATAAATGTTTGAACTGTTAAATATCTGCAGATTTTCCTAAAAGAAATTCATAATCTAAATAACAGAATCAGCAAAAGCCTAAAAAGGGCTCAGCATGTGTCTGAGTGTAGGAGTGCTAAACACTGTAACTGTGATCCAGGTTGCAGACTGCCTGTCATTTGGGTCAGAACAAAAGCAAAGTTGGACAACACTGAGTATATTTAAGTCTGCAGGGATCATCAATGGGTTGAGCCATCAAAGTGCTGATGGACGGTTACATCCTTACCATTACGCCAGTTTTATCCCATGAGGCCTCTTCATGTCAGCTCTCTATCAAATCATGAGAGGGCTAAAGAAGGATTTCCTGGTACTATTTAAATAGTGGTGGCAAATGTCCAATGTGGCAAGATGAGTCAAATTTAAAATATCCCAAGGATTTAAGGACATCTTCACATTCACACTCAGGTTTGTGTTTGAAACATGAATTAAGTTTGCTAAAAAGCAATAAAGGCTACTGACACTCTACCTACAGTGAGTGACTCAGATTCAGAATGGCTGTCCAGAGTTCAGTAAAACTTTACTTTCCAATTATCCCATCTCTGTCTGTGGACGTGATCTTTATGGTGGGTATCACTACCTGTTACTGCATTATTATTTGTTCATAACCAGCCAAAGAATCTCAGCTCCATGAGGGCAGGCACTTACTCAATCAGTGGTGAATAACTATATAATACACTTTGACAGGACGCTTACTGTACTTAAGAACACACAAATCTGTAAAGGGACAAGGAAAGTTTTCATATTTCTTTTTTTAATTTATTCTGATTTATTATATCTGACAGCAGAATGCAATTCAATTCATATTATACAAACAAAGCACAATTTTTCATGTCTCTGGTTGTACACAAAGTAGAGTCACATCATTCATGTTTTAAGTCTTCATATTTCTAAGCCACTAAAATGAACAAAGTAAAACAAAGTAAAAGTCTTACTATTAAAAACCTGATTAAACCACAAAACTTGGGGCTGGGGATGTGGCTCAAGCGGTAGCATGCTCGTCTGGCATGCGTGCGGCCCGGGTTCGATCCTCAGCACCACATACAAACAAAGATGTTGTGTCCGCCGAAAACTAAAAAAAATAAAAATATTAAAAAAACAAAACAAAACAAACAACAACAACAACAAAACTTTAGAAACTCTACTTAAGTTGAGGTGAACTTAGGTTTTAAGAAGCTGAAAGTACCAAGTTTATACAGAGACCTTGGACTTGAAAGTTAAAGCACTGCATCTGTTTCCAGAGGCTTTTGCAGTGCACATCCCGAAGATTTTCAGCTAGTAAAGAAAAACTAGAGTATAAACCCCGAGAACCAGTGTTTACCTTTGGGCCCCAGGTGTGACATAAGGATCATTCACAGCAAAACCGCTGAACCGGTAATACAATGGAAAGGACCAGTTTTTCTTCTCCAAAGCAAAAGCGGCGCGAGAGGACGCGACACAGTAAACAAAGCCAGCCCAGGGCCTCGGGGAGCCGGGCCCAGACAATAGGAGCAAAGCTAGGGGCAGGTCCGGGGTTGGGTCAACAGGGGGTGGAGTCTCAGGAGCACGGCGGAGGGCAATCAGCGCCAGCAGCCCGCCAGAAGCAGGGGCGAAGCCAGGGCCGCGGGACCCGGCGGGGGCCCAAGCCCGGGGTGATCCTGCCACGGCGCCGGCAGCCGCGGGCTAGCTCGAGTTCTCCCAAGCGGCGGCGACCCTCACCCTCGGCCTGCGAGGCCGTGCGAGAGGCGCCCCCCGCGCGCTCGGGACGCGCGGCGACCCCGCCGGGCGCACTTACTTTGAGCAGGCAGCTGTTGAGAGGGGCGGGCACCGAGGTGCGGTGGATCACCAGGTCCTGGCCCGGGTTGTGCACGTCGCAGATGAGCTCCAGCACGGCGATGCTGCGGGCCGTGGACACCGACACGCGGTGGTCCTCCGACCAGGCCAGCGGCTCCAGGCCGCTCACCGCGTACTGCAGCTTCACGGCCGGTTCCCGCCGAGTCACCATGAGGCGGAACGAGGCGCTGGGCCCAGGGGCCGCGTCCGTCGCCGGGTCCTTCCCGCCCCCCTCGCCCTCCTCGTCCTCGGGCGGGGCGGCCCCGTCGACCGCGGGCCCCAGCCGGGCCTTGTCGGCCGCGTTCATGTCCCCTCCGCGCAGAGGTCGGCTCCCGGCGCGCGCAGCCCGCGTCGCCGCCCCGCGGCCGCCCCCGCCGCGCGGCCACCGCCCCCAGCGCCCTCCGCGGAGGCCTCCTCCGCTCAGGCCGCGAGCGCCGCCGAGCCAGGAAGGACCCCGCGTTGCCAGGCGACCAGCCCTGCCGGGCGGCCACGACACTGCCTGTCTGGAAACCGCGCGAGCTTGCGGCCGCCTTGAGCCTCCCGCTGCCGGCGGCCGGCCGGGCCCTCGGGGGCCTCGCTGCGGGCTGGCCACGCGGGCTGCGTCGGGGCCGCGGGCTCGGAGCGCGGCGGCACCCCGAGCGTCCCCGTCGCTCCCCGGCCGCGCTCGGCCCCTGCGCCGCCGCGTGCTCGGGGCCCGGACCCGGAAGGGGCGGTGGCGGCCCGGCCGCCCACGTGTTGCGCGCCCGCCATGGAGGCCGCCGGGAGGGCTCGGATGGTGAGTGCGGGGGGCGCGGGGACCGCGGCGGGCTGGCTGCGGGCGGCGCCTGAGCTCAGCGGCCGGAGCTGACGGCGGCCGCTGTGGCCCCCGGGAAGGAGCACCGCGGGGCGGAGGCTCGTGCGGTCTCCGATTGCAGAAGAGTAGGAGGGACTCGGCGGGTTTGGGGCTTTGTTTTGTTTGTTTGTTTGTTTGTTGGGTTTAGGGGGGTTGTTCCTACAAAGCAATACGTGATTCCATTGAAAAGTCAGTTGCGAGAGTGGGTTCAGCCCAGCAGTGTCGAGGACGAGGTTCTTCACCGCTTGTGAACAGACTCGCACCAGCTAACACCCCTCCTCTGGGTTCTATTTGGTGATATTTTATTCTTCCCTTTTCTTGAGTGTGTAACAACAAACTTTTAAGATTTAGATGATTGGGAGCACGCAGTCTTCAGCTAGCCACTGGTACAGTTGAGTCTGTAGGAGGAGGAGTATAGAGAAGAGCTGTGAGACTCTACGTAATGACCCACAGGGGCACCTACCAAGTGCCAGTGCTAAAAAAAATCATATTGGCACCATTTTGGATAATAGATTGCTACACAAGGAAGTCAGTAGGTTTGCTTGTGTCACATACAAGCCTAGTAACTGATACATAGAAAGCATTTGCTAATACAAAGGAAGAACTAATATAGACCAAGCCCGGAAACTTAGAGTGAATTGACTAAACAGTATCTAGTTTTTTGATTGCTTTAATCACTGTTTCAAATGGGATTAACTGAGAAGCAGGGACAGGTATCAGCAGTGGCAGGGTCTGCATCTGCATTTTGATGTGTGTCTCCAATGGGAGTGATCCACCTGCTGACCAAGTCTGCTGGTGGGTAGCCTATATGCCGGATTTGCAAGCATCTTAAAGGCTCAAGTTATGTTGCCATGCCTAACACTGCATGGGATATTTTCTTTCCAATTGCTTTCTGATTATTAAATTGATACAAGTTCATTTTAGGAAGTTCAGAAAGAAGATAAAACTGCACTCATAATTCCCAAACTCGGAGAGATAACTTTTAACATTTCGGTATATATCCTTCTAGAAATGAAATTACATGTTTTATGGCCAAGCAGGGTTCAGTTCAATAAGTCCCATTATAGCATTTCATCAATATGTAGAATCATAATGCTGGCACAAAGCCTGGTTCCCTCAGTGATCCTGGGACAAATTACCTCACTCTCTGAGTGTTCTCAACTTAAAATAAGGTGATACTATTGCCTGTATTAATAAATAATAATTAATTCACGTGAGTGCATCATGTACTGCCTGGCATATAGTGACTACTCGGTGTGTTTATTAATACCAAGGACATGGTACCGCATGCTCACAGGGCTAGGCAGGCCCTATAGATCACCTCCCATAGTTCCTGCCTTTCACAGGCACAGGAACAGACTCAGGGAAGTAGTTTAATGTTGCACGGCTAATTTTAGTAGATCTCTTATGCCCCTGTTCCCTCTGCTCAAACGCCACCTCAGAATGAGTCCCTGATTTCTTTCCTCCCTCCCTTTGCCATAGGCCATGTTAGTGTCCTCTGTTATAGTAACCATGGATTTGAATTTATGGTTTGACACTTATCTTCCACTTGTCTGTGACTTCCTCAAGGTCTTGGCTAATCTTGGAACTTTGTATGTTCAGAATCAAGATAATTGACAACTGATGAGTGGGTATGTTATGGTCGCTGGGGAGAAGAGCTAGCAATGGCAGCAGTGTCCAGATATGTGAAGGGCATACTCCATCTCGTGTCAGTCACACAATTGCCTCACAGGTGTTTGTCGAGTGCTGACTTTGTGCCAGGCATGGGCCATGCAGGGCTGGCAGTGTTGTGCAGGACAAGCTGGGCCTTTCCCTAGGAAGTTTGCAGCCTAGTAGGCAGGCAGGCAGGCACCAGACAAGGTGCTTTGCTTGTTATTGTGCTGAGCACCACAAAGGAGAGTCAGGGTGCTGGAGAGCCAGGATCCTGGAACTTTTGCCCAATGGAGCACAGGGGGGCAGGAAAGGTGCTTCCCAAGGTAGGGCAGGTGAGCACTGTAGCCAGCCAGAAGGCAGGTTGGAGTCCCCCTGGTGGGAATAGCAGGTGCTGGGCCTAGAGGAGGGAAGAAGCATGGCATGTCCTGGGAATCAAGAAAGCCAGGATGGCAGAGGGTGAGGCTGAAGCTACTGACGTTGGCTGAGGCCATGTTCTGGAGGCTGTGTGGATCTCACTGCAGATTTTCACTTTTAGCCTCAGAGCAGTGGAAAAACCTATGATTGTGCTTGCTTTTAGAGAGATGTTGATGAGTTAATGAAGCGTGATCAGGATGATAAGGTTTCTAAAGCTTAGATATTACTGGGAATATTTAGTTCAAAGAGGGAGGAGGGAGTTGTAAGTCATGGAAAGCCACTCTGCTTGAGGAATGGAGCACAGGAACCCTGTGTGTCTCAGAGCACATCCTCAGCTTGTGGATGCTCAAAGAGGCAGATCTTTCCTGAGGGCCCAAAGAGTTTCCTAATCCTTGGATTGGTCAGGAGCAGAATAGGCTGCCTCCTGTGCTGTAGGGGGTGTGTGGGCAGAGGCTGCAAAGCCTTCTGCTAGGGAAGGTGTGATTAGGAGTCCCAGACATAGTAGGAGAGGCCTTCAGGCCTTTGATGCCCCTCTCAGACAGTGTCAATCAGATGAAGTCAGCAAATTTCATAGTACCTTGCAGATGATTCAACAGGCCTGAAACTTGATTTCACACCTTTCTTTAATCCTGAAGTTCATAAACTTGAGGCTTTGTAAAAAAATAAATTTACAAAGTGAAGCAACTTCAGCACATACGTTATTAGTATTACATATTTGAAATTATATCTATAGAATTTTTTAAAGTAAAGAAATCCTATGATTGTTCAAGAAAAATAACTGTGGTTTGTATTAGTAGGTTAGCCTGAAGTTACAGTCAAGGCTGATGCCAGTCAGTGTGCACACACAAGCCATTATTTCAGGCAAGAGGAAAATAACCTATTCCAAAACTCAAGAATAACAAAACACTGGCTACTCAAGAGGTGCTCTTACATTCTTGAGTAAGTTGGGGGGAAAAGTGAAAGACAATAGAGGAATTGGATGTTTCTCTTCCTAGGGAAACTTCCCCTTTGTGCATTTAATCTCATTTCTGTTATGGAAATAAGCAACAGGCTGGAAACACCTAGCGGTGGCTAGCCTGTACTCTTATAGTCTCCTATCAGGCAGGGAGGGATGGAACTGGGTTGGAACCGATTGTGATCCAAGTGACGGATGAAGCAGTCTCTCATTTGGAATGGCAACGGCAAGTGGTGCTGTCTCCAGACCATCTGAATCTGGAGGAGCAGCTTGAGGGGAGAAGATGACAGAGCCAAGAGCTGGGTAGAGCAGTAATGAAGGTTCCCGCTTCCTGGGTACGTAAGCTGGGCTGCAGCATTGTGCTTCCCCCCGTGTCGAGGCTTGAGGTGCTCTGTTGATGGAGAGGTTCACTTTCCTGCCCCTCTGCTCCTGCCGTTCAGGGGCATCTCTAGGGGTGTGGGCAGTAGCTGGCACACTGCACCAGGTGGTTCTCACTTACCTGTGAACAGTCTTAATTGGTGAACATCATTTCAGGAGGCACGTCTTCCTCCCTGATCCTCACCCTCCTTGAGGTGGTTTAAGGATCAAGATAGACAGTGAGGCCATGCAGATGAATGAGCTGAGACTTTTTTTTTCTTCTTTTTTTCCATTTTGGAAAAAGTGGTGAAAGAATCTGGTTGCAAACCCTAAACTGTGGCTTGGCATATGGGGCGTAATGATCCCTGCAGGAAGAGCTGCAATTCCGAGGGCAGTCAGGCTTCACTCTGCTCTCTGTCTTCATGGACTAATGCACCTCTTGATCTTTCCTTTGGGGAATAACAGCAAGCAAAGGCTACCAAGAGAAAAGACCAAGCGTCCAGTGAGGCTCCCCCAGCAAAACGGAAGAAAGAAACGTCCTTTCTCCCAGCCAAGAAAACTGGTGTTGGAGAAACTAGGAGGGCTTTTAGGGGCAATGCACAAAAAACATTGTCTCCAAAGAAGAATTGGGCTAACACAGGAGATCGAAAGCAAGAGGATAAGCCATGCATCAAGACTTCATCGCTGTTCAAAAATAACCCTGACATCCCAGAACTCCACAGGTACGGTCAGGTGCGGCTGCACCTCAGGCGTGAGGAATGGCCTGTGTCTGCCTTTCTCCTGGTTGGCATGGGCACTGATCCTGGGCTTTGTCCGTCCCCTGCAGACCTGTGGTACATCAGGTGCGAGAACAGGTATTTGCTCCAGAGACCTTCCAGGAGCTGGGCCTGCACCCACATCTCGTGAGTACTCTCCTGCCTCATATGTCTGTCTTGTGCCTGCATGTCTTTTAGTGTCTGCTTCTGTTCCTAGTTACCTGAGTGCATTCGGACTGCTGGACTGGCTGCTGGCGTGGTTGAGCTACGCCGAGGTTACTCTTCTCTGTCTCCTGGCCCTACCTGCCCCACCCCCATCTTTTTTTTTCTTATTTTAAGGCCTGGAGACTTTGTCCACCTGATGCACTTTGAGGCCAGGGCTTCGCTTACTGGACTTGAAATAGCTTGCTAATTACTGCGTAAATGTGGTAAAGCCGTTAGTGATTGCAAACGTCACATCGGCCCCAGGAGTGGGAAGCAGCATTCTTGTAGTTAAGGGGTGTGCAGCTTCAGATGATGAAGGTGGAAGAG